CCCCCCCCCCCCCCCCCCCAGAAACAGGTTTCAGATCGATATCAAAGCCCTGTTCCATGGTTTTTGTTTTTGTTTCTGCAGGTTTTTCCACCTGTGGTATTATCCAGGGGCAAACATCGAGATCTTTGGCCAGGTAAAAAACAGTACCTTATGCTTATAATGATGTTCTGGTTACAGACAGCTCCTGTTCTTGATTTTTTAGTACATACATAAATGACTCAAGGAAAGGATCTGTGTTGTTACTCGGTGTGTGTGAAGGGGTTGGTGACGTGGACGACGACATGCTACTTTGTGTACACGCCATTCTTGATCAACTTGGCACGCTGGCTCATGGCTACCACTGCTGATGATGATACGCATGATGAAACCCGCTAGAACAATCTAAGGTTTCCATACCGTTCTTCAACATCTTGTAAAAGTTCACATTAGATACAAACACGATCCACCATAAATCCATCGACAAGAACTTCGGTTCAACGAGTGAAACAGAACAATGGAAAACATGGAAGTAAAGAAGGTGAAGAAGAAGTGGTAGAATCATAATATCATCGGTTCAGCTTGTGAAACCTCAGTCGCTGTACAAAAACCTCTGAGAGAAAGAGTTCCATTGGATACGTATGTACAAACAGGGACCAAACACGACAAGAAACATAAAAAACAAGACAAAAAAAGAGAGAAGTCAGATTCTTAATAACGAACTTACCAATTTTACAACACAAGGAGAATGTTCATCTGGTGACATCTCTTCCGTTTTCTTCATTGTCTGACCCAGAAACTCCCTTCCCCATGAAACTACATGTATCGTAGAATCCATCAGTGTAAGTGCAAATGGGAACAGTTCATGCTATGATCTGTTTCATAGCAGTTCTTTAGAAGCAAATTCTCTGACTCTCAATGGTTTCTGCGTATTTCTATATGTGTGCGAGTGGGTGCATGGAAGAAAGGATCTGTATATAAATTTCTTTCACTTTATATCATGGAGCCAGAAGCTAATATAGCATGATGAAAGATAAATGAGAAACTTCACCTGAATGAGGTAGATGGGCTTGGATCAGTTTTCTCACGGGGAGCAAATTCATTATAGAACTGAACTGAAATCAATCGTTCGTTAGCTGAAACAGTTGGTGCGGGTGACCTGTCTGAACCCATTGTCACATTGCTTCTGGAGAATCCTGCAGCTAAAAAGTATAGTTTATGACATTTGTAATGCAATATATTTCCAAGCCACAAGAACATGCCATGCTCTTCACCCGTACGAAGAGAGAAAGACCTTAAGGGAACTTAGTGAAAATAACATTCGGCTTTCACTTTCAGAGAGGACTGTCATGAGAAGAACAGAGTTCCGAGTTCAAACAAACACAGAAGTGTGCAGGTCCTAGGATCCAGTTTTAGCTGTAAGGAAATCATATCGGACGCTAAACCAGTATGGCAATTTTGGACTATTTAGCGTATGACTGTTCAAACGTCAAATGGAAATGGATGCACTATTTGAAGATAAGAAAAAACAAAAAACAATAACAAAAGCAGACATTTGATGTAAGAAACTCAAAATGGTACCTTGAAAGAAAAGAAAGACGAAGAAGAGAACCGTCACTATCATAGCAAAAACGCTACTGCAGGGAGAGGGCGGTGACTTGGCTGCCTTCGTTCTTCTCAGCATTTTCATCCTTTCAATCCTCGCCCGCTTTCTCATGGCGAGCTCAGCTATTTCCTTCATCAACTTCTGGTCATTTCCACTTAGCAATGGCCCTTTAGGAGGTCTTGGTGGCTTTGGAGGCTTTCTCGACTTCTTAAACTTCACATTCTCGCATTTTTTCCCCGAAAGGTCCGAGTTTTGGCAGCTTCTTTGTCCCGGGTTTTTGTCTCCGAGTAAAGGATAGTTGAGATCATCATCCGTCTTCTCAGCCCCTCCAAAACTCAAACGTCCATTCCAAACATGGTTTGGAATCGGTTCTGTTCTCACATTTGACAGATTTGCAGTGCTTTCTTGTGAAATCTCAGCCACACCACTTTCAATATCTACTACGAGATCGTTCTCTTCTGAAACCCCATGAGCCATCTAAACATACATCAATGTACCAACAGTTTCGAAAAAGCTGATCAACCCCACAATTCAAAAGGCCTTTCTCTCGAGTTCCATCCTCAAAGCTGCAAACAAACACAGCACAAAAAGAATCAAAGAGTGATCCAAGAATCATGAAAGAATCAAACTTACACAACTAATTGGATATGGAAAAGAAGAAAATGATTCCACTAAATACCCTCGTGATACTTGATCATCTCGGGTGTTGCCAGGACAACGAACAGGAACCGGGAGAGATATAATATAATCGACCAAACATCTATAAATGTCTTAATTTCTTACGATCTTCCATTTCTTGGACCAAACCAAATGCAAAAACCTTGACGCATGGGAAGATTCGTTTCTAATCTCCGCAAAACAAAGGAGCAAAAGAGGCAAAATTTCCTCTGAAACCAAAAAGGCGATTAAGGAATGGTACCTTAGCAAAAATGCAGCACAAACAATCAATCAACGAAAGCGACAACGGAATGCAAATCATAAGATATCAAAAATGTCGATTTCAAAGGGAAATCGACGCTCCAGACAACAACCCATAAACTTTTTTCTCAGATAAAAATAGAAGGAACAACTCACAAGATCAAGCATTTCGCGTGAGACGCCGAAACTCGTTAATGCAATGTACGAGGAAGACAAAAGGGTAAAATTACAGCCAATACTGGGAAATTAACTACTCACCCAAATTAGGGTTCTTCCTTCCGAGTAAAATTTGAGAAGATCTTTTTTTTTTCGGGGTTGTGTCAAATCCCTTATTTGTTTTTTAAATATAGAAACACGAGAATGTCTTTTGGATTGTCATGTCGCCGAATGGGATTGAAAAATGCGGCGACGTGCCAGCTTGTTCATAATCTACGGCCACTATTATTGTATTTTCAAATTAAACAATTCGCAAAACAAAAATCCAAATAAGACTCTTATCCATTACTATTTTTATAATAACCAATTCCAGATAATCTCCTTCGTTCGTAGATTTATATGTTTCAGACAAAGCGGATATGTAAACTGTAACTAATCTTGTTGGAAGTATTTCTAAGTACATAGTCAAACCTCAGTAACATCAAATCCAGTGTTGTGTTTTTTTTCTTTCTTTTATTGATGTATTGCGTATATTTGGATAATGCGGAGATATTAAATCCTAAAAAATCATTGGCTTCGACATTTTAATATCATCAAATGGCTTTAATTGATGCAATTAAGGAAATTTATTAATTTTTTATCTAATAACTACTGATACGTACATTAATGCCTCGTTGACTTTAAAGTACATCAAAATGTTTTATAACTATGAAAAACATAAAAATAAATAAATAAAAAGTTGTACTATGCCTAAATGCCGGTCAAGGTTCTAAATTAATCCGTTGACCATTTGACCGGCGCGATTAGTCGCTACCCATGTTTGGAAATTAATGTCCACTGAATACAAGTCATTTGTATTAGATTATCAATCCAAATGGGCCGTAATGTAAAGTTATATCACAAATTGTCACATCTATCTCTAAGACTAATAGCTATAATAACTAAACAGCATTTCTAACGAGCATCTTAGACCCAATTGCATGAACAACGTAAGCATCAAAACACAAGAACTTGACAACTTCTTCGTCAAGAACCTCGGCTTCCATGTCTCTCGGACAAAGATTCCTCGGCTTCCACGAACCAAAACCCACCAACCCACGAGCAAGAGCCTTCAGACCAGGTCTCCCACTGTAACTGCACGGAAAATTCAGCTTTACCAAATCTCTAACATCGATCTTCTTACCGATCCTAAACCCTAACTCGCTCTCGAGATTCGCGATCGTTTTCGCTGCATCGATTCCTACAAAAACATATCTCTCTTCGAGAAAGAATTCTCGGACGGATTCAGGTATGGTGTTTTGATTCATGTGGAGGAGTTGGAGAACGAGGCATTTGGTTTCTACGCATAGTTGCAGAGTAACGATTCTGTTGCGGGTGAGAGAGTTGATGATCATTGGGTGATGATGATGATGATGATCTTGAGGCTTTGTCTTGCAGTTTAGAGAGACAACGACCGTTGGATGCTTTTGGTAGTTTGATCGTACGGCCATGATCCAGTTTTCCGCCATGGAAGCTTCGCTTGTCACCGTTGTTTCTATGAGTCTTCCATGGAAGGAAAACAAACATGTGTGTGTGACCATCTCTCTCTATGGAATCCCCTTCTCGCATGCGCGGGTGTATATATGTTTGTTTTCATCGATACATATATATATATATATATATATATATATGTATATGGTGCATGTGTGTGTATAAATGGAGAAATATATATATATATATACATGTGTTCTTCATGTGTCCACGTTAATGGAACTCTTTGTTGTCAAATCAATTCCCATAAATGCATGGGAATACGAATAGGCCCAGAACGTTCTTATTATCTACACATATATTAAATGAAAAGTTCATATATATTATATCTCTGTATCGCATGTAAATACATATAATCGTGTGGGGGAAGGGGGAAAATACAATGTATTTTTTGTTCCCGGAATTAAAAAAAAAAAAAAGGATGAAATCATTCATTGGAACCTGTCAAGATCTCAACCATGGACTTCATCGCTTCGATCCGCTGTTGCAAAGATATAATGTGGTCAGCTGTTTTTTGGAAGAGTTCATCGACATCGACTGGTTCGCTTGTCGGGATCAACTTCTTCAGAGTGTTGATCCTTGTCGCGATAGGCTTCACCTGTCTCCTCCTGATCCTGTAAACGTTCCTAGATTCACGATTCACGACAAGACACCTTTTCCTCTTGAGGTTAATGCTGTGTTTATTCGAAATCGACCGAATAATCATAGCTTTCGAATGGACCGACGAGGCGAAGGGGGAGATCTTGAGGAACTTCCATAACAACTGATCAATGGCTTGCCAGAAGAGAAAAAAAGGCACAATGATTCGGTTCAAGAAGAGAAGAAAACACGATAATGGAAGCACAGTGCGCATCTCTCTGTCTATATACGCATATATATATATATATATATATAATATACATAACTTGAGGTTTTGATCATTATTCTACATGTATTAATTATATGATTTTGTAGTCTCCGATGATCATGGATGAGTAAAGGACAGAGTGACACGTGTACAAACGGGTGTTGAGTTGTATGTTTGGCCGTGTATTATTCCAACTCACCATGCACATGCACCCACATGTTTAATTCATTCTTCTTCATCTCCTATCCACCTTCTCCTTCATCGGCCGCTTTCCACTCTGTATCGCAATTCAATACATGTGCTTTTTTTTTTACAATTCTTATATCCATATTTCATAATCATTCAATTTTTATATCCAAATTTAAAGTTTTTTTTGTTAAATATCCAAATTTAAGTTTCTTCGACTACAAAGGGCAAACATAAAGAAGAACATTCAAATTATGGTTGGTAAGTTCTATATGTATTAATGTCCTTCTTGACGTGGGAGTGTAGGTGGATGAAAGGGGTGGGTTGCATGAAACGTATATATGTCTGAAAACATGAGACCAGCATCAATCCGTACAAATTTAAAAAAAAGACAACCTCTCGATTAATAGTTAATGCGATAACTGAATGAATGTAATCTATTTGATTGGAAACATGTGCGAATGACTTAGATCATGATGCCGGTTCATTAATGATTGTGTATAGAATATTCTATTCCTCTGTACATGCATGAACCACAGAATCGGCGGATATCACGTTCTATGCATCACCCTATGCATATATATATATGTTCCATTTTTATAATCTGATGAATTAGATACGATGAACCCGTCATTTTTGTATTGGTACACGATGAATTTATAACTCTGTCTCTGTTTTGTTCGGATCTGATTTCCATGCAAAACTATGAATCGCATCGCTTCATCTCCCGTCTTCTTCGGGTTTCGATATATGGTTCTTGATCGATTAGAAGTACTGGAAGACAACCCAGCCAGAAAAGGCACGGAATCAACCGAACAGAAATTAATCCCAGTTACCAAGAATCTTCAGGATCTGTAAAGGAAGATTCTTGGACATAAAATGTTATGGAAATCTTGTCCGAACAAGAAGATTCTGCTTGTGTTTGTGCGCGTATTGATGTATATATACACACACGCATGAATTGAGCAGAAGAAGCGGGACGAGGAAAAACCCAGAAGCACGTGCTCTGTAACATTTGTTATGGACATATGGTTCCTATTCATTTTGTTGCGGACACTGCCGACCCAATTCTCATTTCCAAACGTTTCCTCTCTACTTGCGGCTAACATCGTGCCACGTGTTGGCTTGTCTTGTTATAATTGCGAGAAGCCAATATGTCTATGCAAGTGTTTACATCTAATATCATATATGGAATCCGCATAATAATATAATTAAATATAGCAACAATTTGGTTCTAAATTCAACCTCTCCTGTCGGCTTAGATATTTTTTTAATAAATGATCGGTGGATATTTGCCGTTTATTTGGTCAAACATATGGTTTTTGTTGACTGCTTTTACCAAGTTGATTTTGCGATATTCCTTATCCTCACGTTGTAGAATATTCTTTTATTATTCCATTGCCCTTAACGTTCTCTTACAACTATCTGCAAATATGAATATATATATATATGCGGGTATTGCATGTAATCGAAATATACATACAATAATATCACATTTAAAGTTAATGTGTAATAAAAAAATAATGGAATGAAACACGGTAGGACGAATAGTCAAACGGAGACGTTTGCTTGTGGATATCTCTGACAACTGACGTCCCCTTTTTACCGTTAATATTTGTTCGTTGCCGTTAGTGGCGCACGTTAACATGGGGCGTATACGCTGCTCCAGTGCGCCGTGCGCTTCTCTGCTTTTTGCGCATTCGAATACCGAAAAAGCAAAAAAAAAAAGTAATTAAACGTTTGGAATTAAAAAAAAAAAGAGAGGAGCTTCGCCGGTACTAAAAGCGGAGTGAAGTCCAAGAAATCTCCGCCAAAAGCGGTATCCATAATCTTTTTCGAGTTAGCATCGTCGCCGGCGATGGCGGTTCTTCCGACTAGCTTTGCCGGAGCTCCGGTTATGTGGACGAAGGTATCACCCTCCTCGGATCCACCGACGGTAACTGTTGCGGAAGTCCTTTGAGTTTAAGCTCTTTAGGTTCTCTTCTTCTTGCTCCTTGTCTTCTGCTGGGAAGTGCGGATCTCGCGGCGGATACAGCAGATCTGAGAATTTTCGGGCCAAGCGAAGGTGTCGGCAATGGCGATTCCCTCCCTCACGAACTCTGCTGGTAATTTCACTTGTAAAACCTTTAATTCCTTTTCCGGTTCTTACTCTTTCAAGAGAGTGGAGTGCTCGATTGTTGTTTAGTTTGCTAGGATTTGACTAAGCCCGAGAATTTGTGTGCATTAGAACAATGGACTGTAGAAACTGGATATTGTGTATATTAGAAAGGGGGTACGAGAAGGGTAGAAATGTTACTAAATCGAAAGAAAGTTGGGGTTTCTATTTTCGTTTGGTGCGGCCAGATAGCAGTTAGCTAGTTTTTGACGGAATTACTCTGTATTTCTTACTTTGGGTTTGGGGGAAGGAAGCACAGTTTTTGGGTAATGTTATGTGTTAAATTCAAGTTCAGAAATTATTTTCGAAAGCACCTGAGGAACTCTGATTACTTTTCTATCTCGGGTTTTAACTGACAGTGCTTGGGAGTTTTACGTTTTCAGGTTCTAAGTATGGTAGACTGTCTTTGCTTTGGTTCTAAACCCTAAATTACTCAGGCAACTAGATTGCCAACTGCGTTGTCTACCATATCTTCAGATGGTTATATTATAAATTTTAATTTGTATGCATTGTGCTCCCTTGTGAATGTCAGGAAATTCTCTGATTTGTTGTAATTGAAACTTATAAAAGTTCTCTAATGGTTGGAATTCTTTCCCGTCATGTTTATTTTATCTCACTGTGTCTTTTATGATATATAAATTCAGGTTCATGTAGAAAAGTTCCTACTTTGGTGCTGAAAGTCTTGGTCTCAATTTACTGTGTGATATCTCTCTCCAATGTTCAACTGGCTGATGCTCAGTCCCCGGCTATATCACCTTCAGCCGCACTGGCTATTCCTGATCTCCCACTACCTGCTGATGTGCCACGGTTTCATAGGAAGCATTTTACACCATACGAAGCACCACAACATACAGAAACACCTATGCACCCTCCCATCTATAGTCGATTAGTCACTTCTAGTCGTCCACCTACCAGCGCACATTTTTCCAAACCATCCATGAAAAAGAATGCCATGTCTCCTGGGACCGGCTTGATTGATATTGCTCCAGCACAACCCAGTACTGGTGCACTTCCTGTTGACATAACTCAGCCACCTTTATCTCCTCACATTTCAAGTAAGATGTTAGCTGAGCTCATGTTTTGAGTTTTTTTTTGTCAAATTTTTTCAGTCTCTGGTTTTCATGTGATTTCGTTTAAATTATAAACAGCCAAGATCAGCCCTTTGATGAATCCTTTAAATTTAGAGTACTAACAACATGCTACCTGTCCCAAATTCCTTGTTCTTTATTAGCAATAAAATGCCGGTTAAATACTTGAGCTTTTTATTTCTTGTTATGCCAGATTGTTGCAAACCAGATATGGTGCTGAAACGAGGGACTATTGGTTGCCACTGCGTGTATCCTATAAAGCTGGATATTCTTCTGACGAATGTTTCAGAGAGCCCCAACTGGAACTTGTTTCTGGATGAATTTTCTTCCCAACTTGGTCTGCGAGTATCCCAAATTGAACTGATTAACTTCTATGTGCTAAGCTTATCGAGGATGAACATTTCAATGGATATCACACCTCATACTGGAATCAGCTTTTCAGCAAGTGAGGCATCTGCTATAAACTCTTCACTTATCAGACACATGGTTCGTTTCAGCCATACTTTGCTGGGTGATTACAGGCTTCTAAATCTTACTTGGTTTGAGGCTCCTGCACCTTCTCGAGGTAAATTTTCTTTTGACAACTGTGTTGGGAAAAAAATTTCAATTTCCCTGCGCAATTGTACAAAAATTGAGTTTCCATTTGATCTCAGATTTTCATCCTGTATAAGTGTAGCATAAAGAGCTTCTGAAGTAATCTTTTGTTAATAAAGGGGTGGTTTTGAATTTCATACACTCAACAGTTATTCCATTGTCTCCTGCTTATTAAAATATTTTGCTCTTGAACAAAGCTTTCTTCATCCACCAATTTCTCGATTTCCAATTTAAAAATGGTGCTATTTGCATTGCAAGATCTTGTTAATAATCTCATATTTGCACTAAGATAGAACTTCATCTGTTTGCAGCTCCTAATGGGGCTCCTCAACCACTTAAAGCACCATCATCAGGATCCTCAGCATCTACAGCAGTAAGTTCTCCGAAAAAAAGAAGGCACCCCAGTTTGATTCTTATCTTTGCTATAGCCGCTGGCATGCTTATCATTGCCATAATTTCCGTGCTTATAATCTGTTCGTGCGCACTCCGAGAAGGCAAGGCTATGGAACCTCAGAAGGAAACTGGTATGTACCTCTTTTGAGTAGAAGCTTGAAACACTCTGCTCATGTCAGGCTAGTTGTTTATATGGGAATGCATGATTTTTTTAAAAGGTGTATCACAGGAATTATACATTAGAAAATTAGGGCAAATGTGCTTAATGTATGAGTTCCCACAGATCAGCCTTAGTCTGTTTCTCGAAACTTATTAATTTTACATGCCCACATGCATAGCCCAGTGCTAGTGCCGGATTCCTCTGCAGTGTCAAATGTAGAATCTTAAGGTTGTATCGAAGAATGTCTGACGAATAGAATGTTGCAGTTGCACACCTTCTCCTTGATTACTGAATGAGAAATCATGTCTCACTTTATCTTTTAACCATGTCTTAGATTCAAATGGTCTAGATACTACTTGTCATATAAGATAAAAATAATCTATCAGTTTGGCCATTGCAAAAGCGAACAAATTGTAAATCTTCTAGACCTTTGGCATCAAACAGAGGACAGGTGAAAAATTGTTTGTTTCTGATCATTTCCTGTAAATAAAAATAAACATTTTGTCAGCAGATATCTGTTCTCGTGAAAGCTGATATGTTATTTATGTTTATTTTCGTATATCTTTTGCTATTAATGTCAGGTTTTGTTCTGAATTATTTACTATGATCTCCCTTATTGTCAGTAAAACCGAGGAACCCAGACTCTGCTTCGGCGGGGGGTTCATTGCCCCACCCAGCAAGCACACGTTTTTTGTCATATGAAGAACTCAAGGAGGCAACTAACAATTTTGAAGCAGCCAGCATACTGGGGGAAGGTGGATTTGGTAGGGTTTACAAAGGCGTCTTAGGTGATGGAACTGCTGTAGCAATTAAGAAGCTTACAAGCGGAGGGCCACAGGGTGATAAAGAGTTCCAGGTTGAGATCGAGATGCTAAGCCGACTTCATCACCGTAATCTCGTGAAACTTGTGGGTTACTACAGTAGCCGAGATTCTTCTCAGCACCTTCTCTGTTATGAGCTTGTTCCAAATGGCAGCTTGGAAGCCTGGCTCCACGGTATATACCCTGGAATTATCGACTTATCTCATTGTTTGACTTGCCAAGTATAGGAAGTTATTGGACGTGGTCTATGGATTTTGTTGAGAATCCATACAACTTTTTAGATGTTGGTTTCATTTTCAGAACCTTTATGTGTTGTTAAGAGTGATTTTATTCTACTCTTCACATTGTTTCAGGTCATCTTGGATTAAGTTGTCCTCTGGACTGGGACACCAGAATGAAGATTGCCCTTGATTCTGCAAGAGGCCTCGCTTATCTTCATGAGGACTCACAGCCATGTGTTATACACAGAGATTTCAAAGCTTCTAATATTCTGCTCGAGAATAACTTCCACGCAAAAGTTTCGGATTTCGGATTAGCCAAACAAGCTCCTGAAGGCCGGAGTAATCACCTGTCTACCCGTGTCATGGGCACATTCGGGTGAGCATCATCTCTCTCTCTCTTTTTTATTTTAATTCTTCCCTCACTTGGGAAATCATGCATCCATCCGTATTCAAACTGACACTGGTTCTTGGGTTCCATTTTTAGTTATGTAGCACCGGAATATGCTATGACTGGACATCTACTTGTCAAAAGCGACGTTTACAGTTACGGGGTGGTCCTTCTTGAATTGTTAACTGGAAGGAAGCCAGTGGATATGTCACAACCTGCCGGCCAGGAAAACCTTGTCACTTGGGTAAGTCCTTGCGTTCCACTCTGGACGGATCTCTATCTAAAGCTCTTTTTCTAAGAGGATCTGTGGGAGAGTTTTCATGGTTCTTCGGAAAGAGTAACACGTAATTTTCCATTCCAGACAAGGCCGATCCTGAGAGACAAGGACCGGTTAGAAGAGCTTGCAGATCCAAGGCTCGAGGGAAGATACCCGAAAGAAGACTTTGTACGGGTTTGCACAATAGCTGCAGCTTGTGTTGCCCCCGAGGCTAGCCAAAGACCCACGATGGGCGAAGTGGTTCAGTCGCTCAAGATGGTTCAGCGGGCCGTAGAGTTTCAGGACCCTCCTGTGATGGCTTCCACGGTTCGGCCTAACCTGAGACAGTCATCTACCACGTTCGAGTCAGACGCTACATCCTCCATGTTCTCGTCCGGTCCTTATTCTGGTCTAAGCGCCTTCGATACCGACAATATATCACGAACAGCTGCTTTCTCAGAAGATCTCCATGAAGGCCGGTGAAAGGCCTTCTTCTTCTTCTTCCACGTTTTTTTTCTCTAAAACCTAATCTTAGATCTCTTTAGATAGACAAATATCTGAGTGAGGAGATTTAGAGCAGAAAGGTTTGTACGTTTCGTGACAATGTTACTGGAATTGGTGGTTCTCCCTCTCGAGGGTAAAATGCTGTATATATGTCCGGTTTCAACTTCAGAAAGGTCCGGTTCAGACCATGGCCCATTCATTTTAAGCCCATGAAAGTGGGTCTGATCTTGACCCGCCCCATTCTAAACCGGGTTGACCCGGACCCGGTTCATACAAAGATCATCGATATTTTCAGCGCTCACCACCATTAATTTAACACTGATCTCAGAAAATAAAATTAAAAAATAAAAATCCCCCAAGTTTGGTAGGATAAGGGCCGGGTAGTTTCATCGCTGGCGACGGAGCTAGGGTTTATCTTTCTTCTCCGCTGAACGATAATAATGGCTCATGCTTATGTCTCTACATCGGCGTCTTCTCTCGGTTTCGCCGCCGGTTTCGTCTCTCCAACTCCTAATGGCTCCTCTCTCGATTCTCTGAAGCTCGCTCTCCCATTTCAGCCCCTTCCATCAAGGTTATATATATGTATTTTGGTTGTTCGTTTTCGTCAGATTTCTCCTGGAACTAGGAACTGTGGTATGATTTTAGGGATTTGAGAGATTGGAGGGTTTTGCAGGAAAGCTGGGAAGTTAGTTAGTGGCTGTAAGAAATGGAAGAACTCGTCTCCGAGGGCGATGTATTCCGGCGACTTTTGGGCGCCGGAGGTTTCTGCCCGCCGAGGAGTTTGGTCCATAAGGTAAAGCCTCAAGCTTCAGATTCCAAAGTTTTTCACAATAGGGTCTGAAGTCATCAACAATCCTTTTGTTTTAAGGTTCGATTTTTGTGTAGGGATGATTTGCAAGTCCCTTCTTCGCCGTATTTTCCTGTGTATGCCCAAGGACAAGGGCCGCCTCCTATGGTGCAAGAGCGG